CCTGCTGAAACAAACTTTCCGGAAAGAATATGTCTCTCAAAAACATTACTGCCGTAGTTGAATAGATTACAAGAACACACCACAAATAGTGAAGACTGAAAGTATTACCCAACAAAACTACCAGTGTAAAGATTAGAAAATAAATATCCTTGGTATGGACAAAGCAGGAGGAATCATTAGCATTTGGTTTCAGCTGTGGAAGCACCACCAGTGATGACATTCCTTTGATAATCTTCAGACTCCTACCTAACCTTGTCACACTGAAACCAAACAGGAGATTCACAATTACTAAATTTATTTGTTACTGTTGCCTCAGTTAGCTTGCCACTAACAGAAACATCCAAAGCTTACATCATTCCATAAGCATACGATATTACCAATCATCTCTCTTCTGGAGAGCACAAGGTCATATTTTTTCACTGAAAGTAGATGTTAAAGAATAGACACTTTTTTTTTTTTTTTTTTTGGCTTAAAACAGAATCCACACATGCTAATGCCCCCGGAAGACTTATACTGAGTTACCAGTATGCAGCTTCTAGAAGTCTGCCTCCAAAACAGAAGCAATGGTAAAGAACCATGCCTAGAAGCCCCTTATTCCATGAGCTGGAATTGCACTAGCCATATTGGTTTTGTTCTGTACAGCATTCTCTGCACACAACGTACGAGGAAGTGGCTTTGTAGCTGTCTGCTCCAGCACACTGCTATAGAGGTCCCTGATCTGAGACCGATTTCTGCCTGACAAACTGAAACGTCTGACCTCCAGAGACCAAACATGACAGGCATGAGCTCCACCTGACACAACCATGGATGTGGGAGAGAGCATGCTCTTTGTCTACCTTGTTCATAGATGTTTACAGGGGCATAAGCCAAATTTGAAGAAATCTTCCCTTGAAAGAAAGTAAAGCTCCAAGACCGAGCTGAGTGTTCTGTCAATTATTACATATTGCCAGTCATGCTGAAATAATAATTGTTTTCTTGAAGACCAAAACAAAAGAAACTTGTACACTGGAAAGGAGAGAAAGGCCCAAACCCTTCAGATGCTAAGAAGGAAGATAGACAAAAATCGGAACCACATCAGAGAAGGATATTCCCTGGTGGCCCTTCACTGGAAGATCTAGTTTCACCTCCAGTTCTAAAAGCAGGCTGAAATCTTCCTTTTAATAAAGCCTCAAATAGCAGCAGAATGAAGACTAGATGCATTAGTTAGAAACTGAAAGGCAGATGTATTTTTAAAAAATCCTTCATATGATACTTTCAAAAAGCTCTTAAATTATTACATACATACTAGAGTAAGAAATCAGGTTCTCAGTCTTCTTATTTGCATTACACACATCAGTATCTCTTAACAACCACCTTACTTTCTAGGGAGTTTGGGTTGCTTTCTCATTAGTGTCTTGTCAAACGGACGTAGAGTTAAATTTTTTACATCTCTCTACTTGGATTCTAGAAACATTCTATCCTTGTTTTGCTTCCATATTGTGTGTGTATCTTTGCATAAGCTGTAATGTCTTCTATTAAGCATTTAGCTTTTATACTTTATTATTTCTTAAAAGCAACCAAAATATTAAGAATGTACTGCTTTTTTGTTCTTGCTAGTATTATGTATGCAAAGCAATGAAAGGGAGAATTGAAATCACTTTCCTCTTCTGCATCAACAGATCATTTAATAAATTCCAGTGCAGCTACAGTTGTGCAACCCTATTAAGCACAATGGAGTTATAGAGGCATAACTAGAGGCTTAATTTGGCTACCAGCATTTTTCTTACTCATGACAGAGAATTAAAAGAAAAGCACTCAGCCTGATTTCAGGCTGCCAGTTAGGAGAGACAAGCACCTTTTTACATTTCTGAGGAACTTGTTATGGAAGCGTGTGTTTTCTGAGCCACCGGATAATACAGGAACATAACAGAGCTCAAATACTACTGACTGATGCACTGACAACCAAACTCTGGCTGCACATGTCACTTCTCAATGCCAGGACAGTACTGCACCCACCCTGCAGGAGGAGCATACAGTTCTGTACTCCCACAAGTTCTGAATTTAATGCACATATATAGAAACTGCTTTGCAGTTCAATGGTTTCTGAAGGACTGAGGATGACTGAACACACACACACACACTGAAAACCCAACGCTCACAGAAGTCTCAGCTGTGCAACACCCACACCAAAAACCACACTGCTTGTGCACATGGTTATAACCCCTTTGTGCTTCTCCTGCCCAGAGGGAAGCTGAGCCATGCTGCCTCAATCACTGGTTCCTATCACTCTGCCTGGGCAACCCTCAACTTTCCCTCATGTGAGCAGCATCAAAGCACAGCATGACAGGGAGACACCCGCAGGATTTCAAGGAAGAGCTGAGTGGGCTACAGCTACATTCACTTTTCTGACAGGCTGTAGATTGAGAATGCCCAATCCAGATCTTATGCATCTATACAGGAAAATATTACCATATCTCTTAAAAGGTGGGGTATTTAAAAAAAAAAAAAAAAAAACACATACAAACAAGTATGTCTATTTTGACAGCTATGTCTATTTTTGAGCAAGTAGAATTTCCCTAAGGTTTCTTGTATGACTAGAAAAAGGTGAGATACAAACTGAACCTAGATGTGCTTGTCAACATTCCACAGTTCAATCACAGGCTATGGTTCCAACACTGAGAAACCAAGCAAATTTGAATACCATTTCCATTAATATTTAAAAACACCATCATATCAGCTATTCAACTTTAGATACTCCATCAGTCTTAGCTCATGGTAAGATGACATACCCATCATGTCTACTTTTCTTAGCAGATAAATCATCTCCTGCTGCAGGTCTCCTCTTTTTCCTTGGAGGCATCACTTTACTAAAGCAGTCTGATGAACTGCAAGACCGGAGACTTCCTACAGAGGGAATTAAAAACACCAGTACAAGAAATGAAACTGTTGCAGACCAGTTAAACTGTGTCCACTAATAGGCATATTACAAATGGAAGGGAAGGGAGGGGAGGAAGTTAGTGGATTTAAGAATTACAAAAGAAATTATCTCCTTTCAATATCAAAATCCATCTCACTTTTACATGGTGTTCTATGACCATATTTCAGTTAAGACCAAAAGTACTATACCAAAACTAGCACGTAATGCCAGAGCTACCTCAATCTAACAAAAGGCAAGAACTGAGGCTATCCTGAAGAAGTATTTAAGTTCTCAAAAAGGCATCCTTATTTTAATAATTGATTCAGATCAGAACTTCTAAGAGTTGTTCATTACTTTTTGAAATACAGATGTGGCTTAAAAACTAGAGCACCTTCCCCTAGAAAACAGAACCTTTTTATTTTTAAGTCCCAAATTTTTCATGACACAGAGAGCAAGGGGTAGGAAAGGTTTTATTTGTTCTTCAGCTTGTTTTTCTGGTTTGTTTTTTTGTTTGGTTGGTTTTGGGTTTTTTTTTTGGGGGGTGGCGGTGGGGGAAAAGACAGTGGCTGACTGTAGCATTTGAACCACATAAATCTCAAAGACCAAAGATTCCCAAGTAGGAAATGGCCAAGTCAAGACACTGATGCCAGTCAAGTGCCAGTCTTTCCCTTCCCTTCTCTCAGCTGCATACTCCTATGTCACTGGCGACTCTTCAGTGTGTCAATCCAGGTCACCAAACCTGTAGATAATTAACCCAAGCAAAAAAAATATAACAGCTTTCTATACATTAGCACAAGAAAGAGCACAGAACCAGTCCTTTTGACCACAGCAAGTCGTTAAATTGCCTTTGCTGCCTCATGAAAAAGGCAAGCTAACGCTCCAGGCAAAATTTTGACCTACTTGCATATACTGAAGACCACATGGACACCTGGGAAAGGTGTGTGTAAGACCAGCTCAAAGAGCTCTTAAAGCTCTAAGTGTTACACAGAGAATTTTAAAAGGAAAGGAAGAGAGAGGTGAAGTATAAAAATCCAGACAGAGTGATGCCAAAGAAACTTGCAGGAAAATATGAAGAATGACTAAGCTACCTTCTCTTTGCTTCAACAGCATCCAAGGATCCAAGGTTAGCTATGCTTTATTAAGATGCCCACAAAAGCTTTTGTTTTACATCACAGCACAGAAGCAAGCAATAAAACTTTGACTACTTTTGACACCAAGGGAGCAGACTGCAATCAGAGGCCCATTTCCCAACAAACACTAATGGCAATCTTTTGCTTACCTATTCTTCGTATCTTTGAAATAGTATCTTCTCCTGTTATAGGAGAAACACATGTAAGGAACCTCACAGCCTCATAGGCTTTGCCACACGTACTTCATTTTGCACATGCACTGAAACTACTATGCATATGAAACTATGGATTTTTCTAGTGTTAGGCAAGATGTTCAAGCCAGTTTGTACATCCAGATGAATTAATTAGGTTTCAACAAATAAAGCTCTTGCATCTAGTATGCCTTGTTTGGTCTTACCTTTATATTAATTTCTATTAAGAAGAAAATTAATCTCTCAAGTTCAAGAAATATTCTTTCCAATTCAAAAATTTTTCCCACATACTCTTTTTATATTTTTTTTCCACCATGAAGCTCCCCCATCCCAGCATCCTCCCAGAAAAGTATGGCCATACACTACGTTTTAGAAAGAAAAGTTTTAAGAGTAAATTGTAAATTAAAATTATAAATTAACTAGTTATGACAAAACTCCCAATCATTATAATCCATAAACTACTACATGAAAAAAAAATCATAGTGGCTGTGCCAGAAGAATATAATTCTAGAAGCACTGTCCAGATTATGTTACAAAAGGCAATTAACAATAATCTTAATCTTCTTCTTGCTAACATGAGATATATTTGAAATAGGTAAGCCAGAGACCATCAAAACTCACAGTATGCCCAATGTGTTTTACTACCCAGACAAAAGAAACTAAGAAACCTGACCTGCTGAATGCAATTTGTTCCATCTGCTTATGCCTGGAAATTAATATCACATAACTGTATCCCCATAAGTAACTGAGAGTGTGATGTTTTGTGCCTTTTTAGATCAAGTTGCTTAAGACTCCGCAAGTATTTTTTTTAAAACCTACACAAACTAAACACACTTAAGATGACAGCAGATGGCTAGAGACAGCCAACAGACTCAGACACACACTAAGCTTAATAAATGGATGGGTGCTAAAAAACACCTTGGTTTTGAAAATATGTACTTGAGTACAACTGTAACTATCTCATTCCTTTGAGAACAGTTTTATTGTTATTAAAAGCTTTTCCTTAAAAAAAAAAATCAATCTAATTATAATGGCCACAGGCACTGGATGCTGGTAAAATGTAAGAAAAAACACCAAACACCCCCATAGGGTTTGTCTAGTTCACTGGTTATTTGACTGGGAACAGAAATACACAAAGCCTCTGTGAAAAGAGAAGTGTAACAAAAGATGAAATTAGAAGTAAAAATAAAAATTTATTTTCAAGTTACAGAACAGAAAAATCATTCTGTCAGGTCTGCAACACCATACAAACCAAAGAATTTAACCCGAGAATTCCTGCTTTTCCTCATTAAATTACAGGACATTTTTCAGGAAGATTGCTGAACTTGTTTTAAAACCTGAAATTGATAACAGAATTCACCATAACCAAATTTCACCAATGACTCGTATGAAAAACCTGTAGCCTTTCTTGGTTTGAATGTATCTAGTTGCAGCTCTCAAACTGACAGAAAAGAGAAGAAAAGAGATAGCTCAGAAATTGGTAAGTGGCTGCTTAAGGCCTATGTACACCCCCCTAAGCACAAGCACACACACACACAGAGACACCAGCTAGACAATCACTGCACATGCTCTCAGGGATTTCACATCTTAATAACTGAGGTTTGGACCAAGTCTTCACTATTTTTTAACTGTTGAATGATCTCTAAAATATATGGTACAAGAATGTTAGTTTAAAAGTATTTCCTTCTGTTTCTAGAATCAGTATATTTAACTTGAAAGGCACTTAAAATTTCCATGTGATGAACTCTAAAAGTAAAACCAGCAGAATGTTTCTCCTTCATTTCCATCTAAAGCTAAAAACTACAAGAGTTCAGGAGTTTAATTCTTGCAATTTCTTATTTTACAGTACAGCTCACTAAGTAGCATCAACATTAACTTCTCTTACACAGAGTTTTCCAATTCTAAATCTAATTCCTAGGTGTAGCCTTTCACAACTAATTCACTTCTCAAAGGTCTGATCATCTGCAAACATACATGCAGCTCCCTCTCACTTCATGCAAAGGTTGACAGGAGCTTTACTTACCAAGTGCAGCTTCTCTGATGCGATTATCTTCAAAGTTTCTTACTCCTGGGTCCCAACTCAAGATTGGCAGAACCCTTCTAGTTCTCACTGTTTTTTTTGACACTTGAAGCTAGCATTTGCAAGGTAGAGCCTCCAACTGGCTGCTGAATAGGCCACCACCAGCCAAAAGCCTGCCGAGTATAAATGTTGTTTGCCAAATGTTCTGTTCAGTACTCCAAGCTACCAAAGGGAAATATCAACTCAAGAGCTAAAACTCACCCTAAGAAATTTAAAACACTATGCAAGATAATCACCACAATCGAGGGACACTCCTAGAATAGCACAAAACCAGAACAAACAAAAAAGAAAAAACAGAGGTCAGTAAATAAGAATTCTACAAACTGTGCCCCTACAGAACTAATTTACAGCATGTAATTTTCACCTTTTCTCTGGATAATGCCTGTGAATAATCCTGTTCTTCTAATGCTTAAAGACAAGGACTTTTCAAAGAAAACGTAATTGGAAACTGTGAATGCTGAAGCAACTGGAAAGCTAGAGCCGCTTTTTTAAGGATGGGACAAGACTACTGAAAGCACAGTTAACAATCATCATTTTTCAGATTCAAGATGAGAAAAACAAAGATACTCATCAAAACACTGAGCAGCTTCCAATCTTGCTGTGAAAGGAAAAATCACCTTCTCTATCTTGAATTCCATGCTACAGAATTGCTTTGGACTCAAGCGGGTTTTCTTCTCTACAACAATAAAATAGTAGAGGCAAAAGTAATTTGAACTACGAAGTTCAAGAACAAGATGAAGCCTCGTTTTTGTTGACGACATTACCTCATTCTTTTAAACAAGCCAGGTGTGACAATGGGAAATGTACCGTTACTTTTGAAGACATTTTAGTCTGGGTAAATAGATAAGCCACTATTTAATAACCAAGTGACCATTTTAAGCTATTGACAAGTTGCTAGATTTGTCATTAGGACATAAACCCCACTATTATAGAGTTTTCCAAGTTACGCACATAAATATTAGAAGAAATTGTTTACAGAAGCTGAATGCCTGCTTTTTTTTAACCTTACAAAGAGCTGAAAAGGCAAAGGCCCACAACACGTTTACAGCCTATCTTATATTTCAGATATATGTGTTCACTGAATACTAACACATTTTCTGAGACAATAATCACAAGTGACTGGAATGTTGAAGTGAGGTCCACCTTAGCTCCCAAATCACTGAAGGGATTTTGAAACTGCCAGCCTCTCTTTCTTAAAGATTTGATACCTGATTCCAGCAGAAAAGGTGTAATTTTCTTAATTGAGATGTCCAGTATACTTATTGTTAATTCAGAAACAACTACTTTCAAATAAGTGTGGTATGCATTAAAAGCTTATTATAAATATTAACCTGAAATTGAAATAAGAGTTTTTAAAAGAGCTTTTAAATTTGGCTGAGACTTCTAGATATACATTTATTATGTCATCCCAAAAATAGGGCCCATAATGTAATAACACTACCAGGATAGGTGTGTCAGAAAACTAATTGTTAAATATGAGGCTTGCTCCAGAAGATTGAGTGAAAAAAATATCTTAAAAGTAAAAAAAGTCATCTTTAGATGGGTTTGGCAACACTCAGAGAATCTTTTGTGACAGAGTTGTTAACATGACTTTCAAATGAGTTCTTGACATAGGGTCTAAAATTCACAGCATATATGCAGTTCTATAAAGAGTGTAACAAAAATAATAGGTCTTGACACTTCTAACTATGCAGTCGGTAGTACTGGAAAAATCTAGGCCCATCAAAGTCACAAGACTTGCAAAAGTAATCCTTTTACACTTATATAAGGCCCTACAGTAAGCTGCTTCAGAATTGTCAAGTCCCATACAAAATGAACATGGAAGACTTCACTGTGCTGTATTTACTATGGCCAAAATAGCTCACTGCATGGGTATTTGTCCCTCAGATGAGGGAAACCAAGCACACACTTCGACGGAATTTGCCTGGGAGTTATGCAAATATTGAGGTTTCATCTTTTTCTATAAGGAGACATAAAATGGTGCAGAAGCATAAAAAATACTGGAATGAAACCCAAACAAGGAGCTTGACAATATCCACCTCTACTTTAGGTTCTCATTTCATACTTGTTCCTGGTTTGAAAGGTTCTTCCATAACTACTGTAAAAAAATTACACTTCACTAGGATTTTGTGCCCTAAGTCATTCAATGGGCATAATTAAGCTTTTGAAACAGCTGAATTCAAGCACCACAATGCAGGCAATAGGATAACCATGAGTTTCAACGAATAACATGCTCAAACAACTCCCAGTAGAGACAATGAGAGCTCTGAGACTAATTTCTTACACTAACCTTTATGATGGAAGCACTAGGCAAGAGATACGACAAATTCCACCTGCATTAGCACACCTACTCTTATTGATTTGTTTGGCAACAGAAGGGGACTACCTCAATGTTTCACAACAGCTTTTTGTGATCAAGATTACAGTTTGCTTTCATATGTGAAATCAGTATGCATCTGTGTTTAGTTGGAGCACCTGGATCACAAGGGGGAAAATTCCAAGTCTACATCATGAGATGGGAGAGGACATCAGCACTAACAGACAGACAATAAAACCCTTAACTGTCTTGCACTACCTGCATCAGCCTCTGTTGCAAAGTTTTTTTCATTTACATGATCAGCTAATTTCAGGTATCAAATAACTAACCACACTGAAGGAAAATATTTCATAGAAGCCTTTTGTAGCTAGGGTAAGGTAGCTCAACTATGAAACAAAGACACCTGTCACAGCATGGAGGAGGGTACACAAGCCCTAAGAGAACTCTGTCCTATCCAAACAATGCAGTCCTATGCATCTCTTCTCATTGCTCTAGGCTAAGAGTGTGCCAGATTTATAAGTGTGGCCCAGAAACCTCCACGAGGAGCTGACAGCCCCCTCCATTTTCTTAAGTGCTCAAGGTAACTGCAACAAACAAAACCAGCACCTCAGGACAGAGAAAAAACTTTGAGACAGATGGTAGAACAGATATGGTCAGTTTTAAAGAATAGTTCTGCTGAGTGGTCAGGGCTTGAAGCCAGTAAGTTATTTTCCTTCCTCCTTAGATATCACAACTGAAACACTGAAAGGAAGGAAGAAAAAGCAATCAAAGAAGATGCCAGCTCGTAAGTAACAAGCGCAAAAGGAGGTAACACACGTTGCAGGATATCAGGTCACAAATCACAAACGCTGATGAATCAAGAATGGCAGCAAGCTAGTACCAAGCACCCGAGATGAAAGCCTTGAAAAATGATGACATTTTATTGAATGGAAAACAGATTCTGACTAATAAATAGCTCTGAGACACTGACTGAAAATCTGCACAAGAAATGGGAAAAACTTGCAGCAAAACCACTCGAGAAAAGCTGGGTTGTTGGAAGTACAGCATTTAAACTCGGTCATAGGCATCACGACAGCCACAAAAGGTCTTGCTTCTGCTCTGTTCTCACCAATGCTCCCTCAAGAGTCAAAACACTGCAGGAACACAGATATTCTGCTAGTCTGATGGGTTGAGCCCAAGGAGTGAGAGAATTGTTTCATGAAGTCTTCTAAAGTACTTAGACTAAGAAACAGTAAAATGATAGATACTGCTAAAACCTGTCGAGTCCTTCACATCTGGATAAATTAAAAGCATGAACATTTATTTTGAAGAAAACTTTAAAAAATCCTAGCACTTGTTTTCTAAAGCTCCTTTAGCTTTCTAATATTTAATTTTTCAATGATGTTAGAGAGGCTTTTTTGATGAAGTGTGTTTCAATCTATTTCTACTACATTGCTATTAAATACCTGTCTGGTGATCGTCTTGACCAACGTCCTCTGTCAGATTCTGCAAGAGAATAGGAAGGACACAGTTAAACAAGATAGTGGTCTTCATTTTCCAGTAATGTTTTTAACCCTTGTTTAATATTCATCATCATTACTTAAGGATCATCTAGCTAAGCCTGCAGAGCCTTTGTGTCTTTGACTTTAAATAATTTGAAAAATAATTTCAATTTTTTTTTTTTTTTTTTTTTTAAATTAAAACCTTATGTTTCAAGAGGGGAAAGAACTATCCATCAGATGGGGAATTTTGTGTTGTTGTATTTAACAATTCCATTAATAAATACAGCACTAGAAAGACTGAATTCACCATTTACCACAGAAATGGCTTTACTTAGGGATAGACAGACACATCCTGAAGAAAACTGATTAAAAACCAACTGAAACCTTGGAAGCTATTTACCCCCTTTTTTAGGTAGTGTTTTTTCCACTAAATTTGCAGTGTACGCACAGAAGCTGCATTAGCATTTCCAGCTATGACTGCAACAAAACAAATGTAAATGCACAGCAAACAAGCATGGACAGCCCTAAAAAAAAAAAAAAAAATCTTATTCCACTCTTTGCATGGTTGTAAGCAGACAGCTTGCCCATTCACTCTGTTTTCCACAAGAACTGTAAGAAATTGGTAACAATTAAGACTACCATTATGTGATATATTTAGGAAGCCTCCTCGATGGAGACACGTCAATCAAGTGTTGCAGTGACCAGAACTCAAACGCCAGTCTGACCCCTAATTATAATCTTTCATCTTTTACTACACCACTTATCTCTAACAGATTCGAACCAAACAGTCTCTCAAACAGAAAAGGAAGTCATAGTTTTTAAAAATGTAATTATTTAATGATTCCAATCACAAAACGTTCTGGACTAAAGCCCTAGCTCTTCTACTGAGTGAAAATGGCAAGTCATTACCAGCCTATTGAGGGTGTGGTAGATCTTGTGAATATTTGCCAGTGTTGATAGATGAGAATTCAGTTGAAAATCTAGAGGGGGAAAGAAAAAAAAAGTTTGAAACTTTCTGTTTTCCAGATGTAGCAGAGACCTTCATATGTTCTGGTTGTTCAATAAAATCAAACAACTGTAAAATAAAAGCCATCTCAACACTTTTCACTTTTTCAGCAGCACTGAGTGGAAAACAGTAAGTAAAATCTGCAAAATATCTCCTACACATGAATTTTTCTTTAGGCATGGATGACCCTCAGGAAAGTTTAACTATAGCTAAATGCAAAACTGTATTAAAACCAACCAAAGAATAATATTTACAATGTTTTTCCTTCAAATTTGGAATAATTGTAATTTCCATGCTACCCAGTCCTTCTGTTTCATCTATTTCCATAACAAATTTAAGTACCACGTAACATTCTAAAATCATTACTAAAAATGCTAGCACTTGCCTTTATACTAATTCCCTTGCAGAACTAAGTGACTGGAATACACTTACGCAGCTGAAACATGACTTTTGGATAATGAACCAAAGGTCATAATACAGCAGCTGTTAAGACCAGAGCCAATAAAACCAAAAATAAAATATTCTGACACTTCATCAAAGACACAGCATAGATGTTAATTTTGCTTCCTTGTTCTAAAAATAATACTTGTGTTTGCTTCAGTTGCAAGAAAGTGATAGACTGATTTTTCTCTATTCTTTTGAATCTCCTATTTTTGCTAGAAATAGATGAAGGATAAAACTGGAAAATAAGTAATTTACAAGAAAGATCAACTGTGATCCCTCCAGAGAACATACAAGCCAACAAGAATCTCAGAAGCTGGACAGAAACCAGCTGACAAGGATCAAAGACGCCAACTACTACACAACATTTCCATTTAAACTGAATTGGCTCCCCCACTGGAATTTGTGTGCAAAACCCCTCTAATTAAACAAAGACATGTACTATATGACATGCAAGATATTTCAAGCAAAATTTTTACATACATGAAAAGTTGTCTGTGTGTATGTGGTTAGCGTCACCACGTAGTTAATGCATTAAAGCATTTCTACTATGAGACATTTAATTTGGCTCAAACTGATACAAGAGGCAAGTAAGGTCAAAAACAGAAATTCCCACATTTCCAACCCTAGCATTTCAAATTAATGCTCTCAAAATACACTTAAGATGATCCAGAATCTATGGATAAACAAAAGCCATCATTAAATATCACACACTGCTATGAAGAAGCAGATCTGAAGGAACTGCCTGCAGCGAGTGTACTTGTTACGCACATCGGTACGGAATTCTCTTGTCACAGTGAATTAAAAAAAAAATAAAATTCAAAAGATACCTCTAGGAATCATACATTTCATCAGCTGTGTTAACTAAAGAACATCATTTCACTAATTGCTACCTATTTCTTAATATATAGTCCCCAGTCCACCACCACAGCAATACAATTTCTGGAAGTCAGAAGTGTCAAAGATGGGAGTTTCCAACTTTAGATACACTTCTCTGTATGACGCAAAAGGCAACGCAGATCTTACCAAGACACGATAGGAAGATCTTGCACCTTGAACAGGTGCCAGTTTTTCTTCCTGCATTAAACGCTCCCTAAGTTCCACTTCTGCTAATCCAACAATACTAAGTAGAACTATTCGGTATAAAAGCAACCCCAAGTTTCTCAGGCAAACTTCAATTCATTATAAAGGAATCTTTAAAACAGGGGGGAAGGGGAGAACATGAAGGCCATAAAATATTTTAAAATTAGGATTTCATATCTATATAGGGTATCACCTTTGAAATGCAACACTCCTAGCCACTTCACAACATCATTCATACCTGCATGTTTCACATATCCACTGGAAATATCCTTACAATTAAGCTGTTACATCAAAAATAAAAGTTACAGAATTATTATTAATTTCAAGGGGTTACACAAATATTCTACAGCTCATGTATAAGGAGCATCACATCTTGGTTCCACACAGCCTGACATATCCCTATAATTACAGAGGACCAGAGTCCAAAGTTTTTTCTCTTCCACACGGGAAGCTCACAGAATAAGGATATTATCCAAAACCAGGTTTCTTTTACAGTAACTGTTATAAAAGGAAGTAGAGGGAGCAGCCAATGCATTAGGGAAGTTAAATCACAGCCCAGGTCACTTTCTTAACTGGTCACAGTGATTGCTCTACCTGTATTGCAAGGAAGACACACAAGCTATCCTATGCCACTGAAAAGATATATTTTGAGAAAAATCTTTTTGAAGAAAGAGAATCCCAAAAATAACACCTCCCATGGTCATGGAACCATCTTGAATATTATCAAAGGGACCATAGCATAGTCAACATAAGCAAATGACTCAACAGCTGGCTGCAGCTGCATGCTTCAGGAACATGCTCTCTCTCCTCCACCTTCTGAACTTCCACACTTGCCTATCATGCAGCCTCTGAGCTGTGCCCACCTGACCCCCTCAGTCAGCCCACCACCCCTGGAATCTTCTCCAAAACAAACGGGCACAAACAAACCCTGCCAGCTCAGTGGTCTGAATCAGGTTGCCAAGGAGATGTAACACCAGCTACGCAGAGTTAGAGCATGAAACAGGAAAGGTCCTCCCAAGTTGGAGCAAAATAGTCTCCTGTGGTAGCTGCAATATGTTAGACCAAATCAAGGCTCCAGCCAAGCCCCTCTGTGAGACATGTGATACATCACAGGAAGCTCCACACTCAAGAGCTGATTGTATGAGCTTTACATGAAGAAAGCCATCACCATGTCTGAAGCTATGTTTCACCTGAATGCAAGACTTCTGAAACACAGGAATTGGTCTAAAAATATTTTGGTGGGGTTTTTTTTTTCCTGCAGAAATAGAATATTTTATAGCAAAGTACCTCCCAGTTTATTGACCTGCAATCAGAAGAAGGAAACCTGCTTGTTTCATGAATACTGAAGAGATGGGCTGGAATGTTTGCTAAGAGGTGTGTGTCAAAGAAGAGTACATATTTTATTTATTAAGTTACTTTTTCATGCAATCTGGAAAGGAAAGAAATGCCAGAGCCAACTAAATATCACAGAATTTAAACCTTGTCTGCAGTTTATCTTTACCACACCATGTAAGTGTTAAAGTCTGGGTTAGTCAATTAGTCATGATCATATAAAGTTTAAAAGTAAAAAACAAATAGTTTAAAAATAACTTTTAAAAAACTGTATAGATTAATGTTTATATTATGAACGTAACAGTTACAAAGAGGCCAAAGAAACAACTGCTAGCTGGGCTTGCTTCCATAACAAACTAGGCAAAAAACACTCTACACCCTCTCAGCAAGACAAACACATGAAATACAATGAACAAGCCCAGAAACTCAATATATCTTAAATATAAGCAAATTATACAGGTGAAGTGAACTTGAACACTGTTTTCCTATCTGAAATAAAACAAACTTTTAAGGACAAGTCCAATTTTTTAATGGAGGGATTGATGTGTTGCCAAACTATTCAAATTAAATTTTTGCCTATACACCTACTCACACATACACCTGCTTGACTGAAAACTTCAGTTCCTGCTGTCAAAATTATCACTTTAAAGCTTGGACAAAACACAGATACAGAGCACACCACAACTCACTAAAAGCCTACTGAAAAATTAACAATTGTACTAAACCAAATTAGCGGCTGACTCCCATGTTCCTTTTAAAAGCTTCTGGATTGTTTTTTTTTCTGAGGAAACAGAAAATCTATACAAAATCTCACAGTAACAGTAGGTTTAAAAATATTTATTCTAGACAGATATGACGTAGAAATGCTATAGATACAACTCTGCATCAAAAATTGAGTATGCAAGTAGTTGTAGTAGTAATTTTTATTACTGCTAGGATGTATCTGACTCGGTCCAAATATTTTAACTTTTTTGTACCCACCTCAGAAAAAGATTAGCTAGAAAACACATACTAGGCAGACTCATCCCTGAAAATTAAAATGGAACATTTATGCTTTAAATTTAACTGGTTTCAAATAATAGAACTGGAGAAAAACTGTAGTAGAACTGAAAATAATAGTTCAAAGTACTGCCTTCTCCAATTAGCTTAAAACAAACTTTACTTCTCAACAAAAGAATCATTTAATCTTCAGTAAGCTACACCATTTCATGCTCTGCAGTCTACTTACAGAATTATCCTAACAGTAAGACAGGAGATTTACATTGCTGAATGAACTCAGAAGTTCAGATATGAAACCTATATTGGGTGAAAACCTTCAATGCTTATGTTTAGAATTTCTATATTCATTACTAAAAGTTGAGATTCCCAAGCTGCAGTCCAGACCAGCTAGAAGCTGACTCTGCACGCTTATCAAAGGCAGGATTAAGAACCCGTTGCCAGTGCGCCTGCAGCTGAACCCTATAGCACAGGCAGTGACACCGTTTGGCACGGGCAGCCTGAAGAGGTGGTCTCTCTCCCAGTCTGTGGCCTGACAGCAAGCATGTGGGCAAGGGGGGGGTGAAGAACAGGCTCAAAAAGTAGGCTCTCCCTTGACTTGGTGGGGTTGAACATAGGGCACGTTTCAGAAAGTAAGGAAAACAGAAAGTGAATTCCAGGCTTGACATTAAGGCCACGCAATTAAGTGTAAAGAGAAGTGGGATGATCCATCCTAGCTTGAGGAGCAACAGGACCTAGCCATTCGAGCTAAAGACATGGTGCCACAGGAGGTTTCTCCTGCACGAATACATACGGAGCCACACCAAGGGGCAGAGCTACTGCTGATGTCAGCAGTATCCAAACCTACAGTTGCAAATTGGAGTACCTTTTCCAAATACAACAGTCTAAAATGGTTTGAAACAAAACAGAGTGATTTAAGCTATTAAGCAAAGACCTACAAAAAACATAGACAATAAAATGTGGTTGAAATGACAACACACTAAAAAACACTTTTCATTTTAAGGTAAACATTCAGGTCCTACTCTCAACATTTGGTATGACCGCACGCAATCAGTCAACTCATTTTTACCGCAACAAAGTACTTTAAAATTACTGCATGCTAACACAGATAGAGAAAAGCATGGA